CCCCAAAACCCCAAAACCCCAAAACCCCGCTCGAGATTTTCTTTAATTATTAATTGCATTTATTAATCATTTCAATAATAGATAAATTTTTGAATTTAAATGGCGACTAATAATATTGATTCTGCTGCTTTTAACTCTAAGTCTTACTTTAAAAACTACATTAAAGACAAGTCTATTGAGGAGGTTATTAAAAAGAACAATGAAATCTTCTCAGGTAATTTAAGTTCATGTTTAACAATCGTACTTAGAGATTAGAACACTTGATAGTGAATTGTAGACATTAGTCTATGAGAATTACAATAAGTTTATCTCCGCGACAGATATCATTAAGAATGTAACTATCAACATATTTGATTACTGCATGTCAGATTAAGAAAAATATGAATGAGATTGACAGTGAACTGGTGAATTTACGTTCCAATTTATCTTAGATAAATGGATCATATGCTGAGATTGACAACACTCTCAAGTTTAAATGGAAGGAGATCAAAAAGTTAGATACACTCGAAAGAGATCTCAACAAACTCAGATATCTGTCAGAACTGCCTAATATGTTCAAACTAGCAATATCTAAATATGAAGCTAAGCAAGAGGGGATAAGCGCATTCAAGGAACCTCTCAGATATTTTGAAGACTACTCAGATGTGCTAAGCAATTACAAGCAGACTGTAAATTATCAGGATATTAATGCTTTAGAACTTTATGATTAATCTCTATTCTGAAATCAAGAATTACATAGTCAGAATCAAAGTAAGATCACTCATATTTAATTGAGGTATATAGTTCTTACTAAGCAAGGCCTTAGAATAGAATCTTTAAGGTTCTGACATTTCTACAGAGGAAGAATCCAAGTTGATTATAAAGCACTTGATCACATTAGGTGAGGAGAAATCTCATCTTAAAAACCTTTTCTTGAAAACTAAGGCCTAAAACATCAAGAAAAAGCTATCGCTGATTACTTCAGCCAAGAGAACAAAAGAGGTTAACTACGAAGTTTATCTTAAAGTTAAAACTGTAAGTTTTAACTTTATTAATTATGTTTGAAGGATGAAGATTTAAGCAAAATGGAGAGAATATCAGAGGGGGTATTTGATTAACTTCAGGCTGAAGTTGAGTAAGAGATCAATCAAAGAAAAAGTGCGATACTCCAACAGAACTTTGATAAGAACATTATCAAGCAAAATTTTAGACTCAAGAATGCTTTGGATATTACTGATATCAAATTTAGCTAGGTAAAAGAAGGAACTTGCATCTAAGTCATCTTAAGGGTATCCAAAGAAATATCAAGTTATATCTTGAACTCAATAGATGATTATTAAAACCTCTTCTTCTTTGATAAGGAGGCTAAGAGAGTGACTGAAGCACCATTGAAAGATTCAGAAGAAAAAGAATATAAGAAGTTCATCAATAGCTTGCTACAGCCATATACAGAAGAAATTAGAGCAATAATGAAATAGAGTGATATTGATCCTGATACACTTGGAGAAGCACTTAAGATAATTTATAAAGACTTTTAGGACATCAGTAAAAGACTATCCAATCTAAGGACTCTTGCAGTTATGGATTAAGCCAAGAGATTGGTCGAGGAATCAATTAGAAAGTAGCTAGGCTCTCAGATATCTCAATTAGAATAAAGATTGTTCAGAAATATCGATAACATAAACAGCTAATGCTAGGGGTAGAACAAAGTAAATATTCTGTAAATTCAAGAGATGGTATAGTCTTCATTTAACTATCTTATGAACGACATCTCTTTAACAATATACCAGTTTAAGGTACTGCTTAATTACCGTAATTCCTTCATGAAGGAGACCTAAATGCTCTCTATCAATATCTTCTAAAGTTTGCAGAATCTGTTTGAGCTCTGGCAAAAGATCAATCTAGCAATGGTAAACTAAGTTCACTCCTAAATAAACAACCCTAGTCAATAATCCCTCCCTAATGACACTAAAGGGGACATCCAAATAGATGATTATAAACTGAGGGAGTAAGAACTTCTCGAAGTTGCTGAAAAGATAACTGTCAATGGATACTCTATTATAGCTTATATGAATATCTCAATGAAACTGGAGTCATTTGGAATTCAGGAAATATATCAAATAATCTACAGTATGTTCAATGATGATGAGTACAGCGGCAATCAGTCTAGCAGAAGTAACTATTAAAGTGGATATAATGATGGCTGGACTTTATTCGAAACTGAGATCTTACCTATGCTCCAAGATATGATGGCTTAGCTATCAAGAATACTAAGGAAGAAATACTGTCTATACTTTTCTGAGAAAGTAAACTTTTAAATTAGAAAGTACTTCAAATCTCATAACTGGCTTGATATGGTTGAACCCAGAGACATCAAGAATGAGTTTTTTGAAATTTGCAAAAGTATTTATTAGGCTAACCAATGCTTAGATCTATTGTTCGGTTCAACAAATTAATTACAACAGAAAAAGACTATCAAGCAAAGTAATTAGCTTTAAACTCAGCTTAAAAAGCCAGAACTACTTGTTAAGCCAAAGAAATTTAATGCTATGGAGATGGAAATGGATAAATTCTTAGCTAAAAAACATTAAATCTATCAGAATAATGATTTGTAAAGATATGTGCTAATGACCAATATCATTCACATCGTACTTAAATCTTTATATGAAAATGTAAGATATCAAAGATTCAATATATTTGGCTATTAACAAGTTCAAACTGACCTCTATTTCTTATTTACCACTGTTTCCTAAGTATTGCCTAATGAAGAAAATAAGTAATTTTTTAATTTTTATGGCTTAATAGTATTTTGAATGGCTTATTCAATGAGGTAATGAGTAGCTGTATCAATAGAAGTGTAGAATTCCAAAGCATGGACGAATCTGTAATTTTCATTACTTTGATAATTAATTGTTAGGTGATTGACTCAATGGCTTAATTTAAACAGCAAAAGTTAGCAGATTTCTTTGCAAGCTGACTTTTATGAATCCTAAATTTGACTATGAATTTGAGAGATTCTGATGTCGCGTGATTAATTTACTTAATTTAATGACTCTCAATAATTTAAATAATTCTTCTTAATATAATAACGATACAAAATGAAAAGTAATTCTTAAGCTAAACTTCAACAGCCTAATTCTATCTCTACGACCACCTCAGTTAACTCAAAGCAAATTGTCTCTAGAGATTGGGCTGAAAAAGTTCAGTCAGATCAGATCCTCTAGATTCTAAACACTGATAGTGCCAAAAACTCAGATAATTTGAATACAAGTAGTACAAATGGAAGCATGTTTTAGTAATTCAATGATAAACAAAGAATTATATAGCCTGCTAAGGCCCCTCGAATAAACAGCCAAGGAAGTAGTAGATCTAGTGCATATACTGTAAATTCAAATCTTAACAAAACCGGGAATTAAAGTATAAATTTGAACAGTGATTAGATAAGTCCTAGAAGTCAAGCAAAGCGTGATATTTAGGTTTTTTAACAGCAGTTAAATCAAAAAGGAAGTTCTAACATTAGCAACTGCAATATCCCTAGATCTTCCACTCAGGAAAATAAAAGTAAGCTTAAAATTTAATTTATTCAATCATTTTTAGGAAGAAGATCTGTCAGATAATAGTAGCTTCATAATCAAAGTGACCTTCCTGAACTAGCAAGAGCCAAGATTTAGAGTAGTTTTAATAGTAATAAAAACTAGGGTCAGCACATGCAGTCGCCATCAGAAAAGATAATCTCAAGTAACCCTCATAAAATCAAGAGGAGAATGCTAGGAGGAGAGGGTAGTTCTACTGATCGGTTATTTAATCAGATTGTCAAGACCTAGGATGATAAGTAGGAGATGAATAAAGAGAATGTGATTGAGGATAACAAGATTACAAGCAACTCCACAAAGAGTTTGATGATGATTCAGTATCACAATCAGAATCCTCAAAAAGCACCAACATCGTAGTCATCAAGATTGCCTATGAAATTGCAAAAGAGTTTTACCTATTCATAGTAAAATGGAGATAATATATCCAGTCGGACATCTGTGGCTAGTTAGTTACCTAGTAATTCGATGATGCTTGGTAGTTAATAAAACACAATTCTAGAAAAATAAATGAAAGAAGTAAATAAATAAAAAGAGTTATTATAAAAGCTGCAAAGAGAAAAGGATGAACTTGAAAAATAAATGCAAAATAATGAAAAAGCCATCTAAAATAGAATGCAAAAGCTACATCAAGAGAGAAGATTAATGGAAGAAAAGATAATTAAAGCCAGTATTGTAATTTAAAGATTCGCAAGAGGATTTATTGCAAGACTTAGATTTAAAAATCTGCAGGACAACCAAATTATAGAGTAGAAAGCGAAGCTAGCAAATGTTCTTGATGAATTAAAAGTGTAGATAAACACCTGCTTTAATTAAGTCAGTGATTAAGTAAATGATTAGATAGATGCAAGTGCTACTATGATCTAGAGAGCTGCTAGGAAAATGATCGCAAGGAAAAATTTCAGAATATCTCTGTATAAATTGATGCTTTTCAAAAACATAGTAGAGAACAAAGTACATAAAGAAAAAATGCAGATGCTGTATGCCTTTGAATAACTGATTATCAACACTGAGGATGAAAATGATGAAGAATATTATGACGAGGTTTATGGCTAAGAGGACTATGAAGGAGATGAATATGCTGCAGGAGTAGGTGGAGGATATCCACATTTGTCCAGACAGTTTCCACCAGCTTAGAGAGTACCAGTTGAGGCTGAGTATCTTTCAAACCCCTCTGATATTATTGATGAAGAGGAGTATGAAGATTCTGAGGAGGAAAAAGAGCATCATTAAAAGATGCAAATTGAATAGAATAAATAGATTGAAAAGCCACAAACAGCTTAAGTACAAGGTGGAGGCAAAATACTTAATAAGGTTACAGCAAATGATCTATTGGAATTTGCAAGGAAAAATAGTGCAGGCTTGGGTGATAAGAATTAAACTTTGCAATCAGATGATCATTCAAATTAATTTGAGATAGAAGTTGGTGCAGGAATGTTTGGGCAATCAAAGAATTCAAACTACGGAGAATACTCTTAACAATCATAACTATCAACTTTAAATGCTAAAAAGAGAAGTTCTAGTGAAAAGAGAGAAACAGATTCTTAAAAGAACGACAGCCTAATGTAAAGTGAGTTACCAAAAGCAGTATCCAGAAGGATATAACCAAGATAACAATAGGCAAAACCAAAGATGCTAGCATTACCTCCACCTGAGCTAACAATATAAAAGCAACCTCCAAGACCAATTGATATGGAAAGAATTAATGCTCTAAGTTAACCAAAAACAGTACCAGAAGAAGAAGTACTTCCTCCACCGAAGAAGAAAGCTCCAAAGCCACCTATGGCTTAAAAGCCTAAAAAGAAGAAGTCTAAGAAAAATCAGGAAATTTCAGAGGCGTTAGTGCTTGCCAAACCTCAAAAGAAGAGAAGAAGAGTAAGCAGGCAAGGTTCAGGTTAACAAGTAGTTGGTGATCTTATTAGCAACTACGAAAAGCTTCTCAAGCATAGAGAGAGTAGGACAAGTATCAAGATGCAAAGATAAAACTCACATTAAGATAATTAAGTCTATGCAATTGAGTATAAAGCTGATGATGCTTAAAATGATAAATATAGATAGTAATAGCGAAATGCAGTAAGATTACCACTTTAATTGACTTAAAAGCAAGCAGGCAAAAACTAATAGAGCCAAGCTATTGGAGTTGATTATCAAAGAAACTAAAAGCTTTAGGAATTAGGCTACACAAATGAGCCTAGTTTATCTTCCAATCAAGACTTAGCCGAAATCGATACTTAAAACAATCTTCAGATTGAACATAAAATTCCCTAGGTCATTTAAAAACAAGATTACCTTGAGGATTCTTAAGATTTAACCATAGTAACTGAGTCTCAAAATGTCACTGATCCCCGACTAGGTTTAATTCTACCTCCCATTTAGTCTAATATTTAATAGAATCTCTCTTATCAACAATAGATCTAAATGCAGTCGAATAACATTCCAAATTACAATAGTCAGTAGAATTTACAGGCAAATACAAATTAATAGACATAATAAAGTTAATAGTAACACTAGCATCAATAACACTAAGCAGACCCATCTCAACTATATAAAAAGTGTTTCCCCCACACCTCATTAGGCTTCAAAGAAAGATTCCCAGTCTTTGCTGATATTCTCTAAAGGTATAATAAGAATCTCAAGCATATATCAAATGCTGCAGCTGTAACAGCGACCAATACAGTAATTGCTAAAAAGTGATAGGATAAGTTTCAAACCAAACTAAATTACCAAATAATCAATGCATAAATATATAATTTAATTCAATCTATTTCTAATATTTACTGTTTGTTTAAAATGTTTTATTTATGGGGTTTTGGGGTTTTGGGGTTTTGGGG